GGCCAATGGAAGAGGTCATCCGCTGCCTGACTGAGCTCTTGGCCTGCCAGCAGCAGTTTACCGAGCGACTGGCCGTCCGACAGGAGTATACTGACCGGGTCGTGGAACAACTGCAGGCCAGCGTGGCGGGGTGCATGCCCCTCCCGGAAGCGCCCGTCAAGGCTCACCAATACCTCGTCCGGTTGACCGAGAACGACGACATCGAGGCTTACCTCCATACGTTTGAGGTTATCGCGGCCCGGGAGGGGTGGGTCCCGGAAGAGTGGGCTCGCATCATCGCCCCCTTCCTCACCGGAGAAGCGCAGCGGGCCTATTATGCCCTGCGGGCACCCCGGAATGAACAGTATGACGAGCTCAAAGCCGAAATCCTAGCCAGGGTGGGCCTGTCTCCCATGGGGGCTGCGCAACAGTTCTATCAATGGACCTATGATGAACGGCAGACGGTGAGAGCGCAAGCTGCGCAACTGGCCCGATTGGCTCACCTGTGGCTTCTCGCCGGGACCCCTACCGCTGACCAGGTAGCGGAGAAAGTCCTCATTGATCGGCTGCTACGGGCGCTACCCCACCCGGTCAGTATGCGAAATCCACAGGACATACACAGTCTGGCGGAAGCGGTCGAGCTGGCGGCGGCGACGAATGCCCGCGAGGCAGTGAGACACCCGCTATGTGCCGGCCCGCACTGTTCGGATTTCAGCGGAGCCCGGGACCTGGGCCATCGAGGTGGGCATTGTGCGAGACCTCCCCGTACCTCTGCTAGAAGCTCCTCCTCGGCCCCAGGACACCAGGCCGTACCGCCCGGAACGGGCCATGGCGAACCCGTTGGGGACCGCCCAGCCCAAGTCCGGCCTACCTGGTGACGGACAGCGAGAGGGAGGGTGAGTGTCAGCCAGCTAATCTTCCGTCTGTCTACCTCGATGTGTTTTCACAGGTCACGACCGGGGGCTCGTTCGGCAGGGAACAACGTGAGGACGACCGCCTGCGAAACTGTTGGGATCAAGTGCGCCACGTTGAGGTAGACAGGCTTCCGGGCCCACACCCCCTCCCTCATTTTGAAATAAGAAATGGTCTGCTGTACTGTGTCGCCCACAGGCGGGGGGAGGAAAAATTCCTCTTGGTCGTGCCTAAAACCAAGACAGAGACAGTCATGGAGCTGGCACATGGCCACCCGATGGCGGGGCACCTCGGGGCCGAAAATACCGTCCAACGCATCAGGGACCGTTTCCACTGGCCCGGAGTAGACTGGTTTTGATTCAAGTAGATTCACTAAAGTCCCCATCCTAACATCTACGCATGCAGCTCGTCTGTCTCACCACCAGAAGTCAGCATCACCTCAAATCTAACCCTGGATTTTGATTAATTACATAACTAATTATGATTGCTTAATAATTAAACTACTGTGTCTTTGCAAGATACATTATAAATTACACTTTAATTTTTTTTTTTCTTAAGTGAGATACTCATGTTATTACTCATATATTAAACCAGTGTGCAAAAGACTTCCCAGTTTATATAACACCAAGACTATTATGCAAACTGGGAAACCTTTTGCACACTGGTTTAAAAGGTAATATATACAGCAATAATAATAATAATAATAATAACAACAACATCTCTTCAATTAAATTGGGCCAAAAATGAGATAAACAAATTATAAATTTTAGTGAAAATTTTACTTTATTGGATGTCTTCATATAACAGGACTGTACACTGGAACACTATAAACAGTGACTTATGAATAGCAAAAGTACATTAAATATGCATCAGTCAGGCAAGTACAGTTTACAAACAAAAAAGAGGACATCTACAAACATCTAACAATGTCAGAAGGAGCATGTCCAGAGCATGATTTTAAGAGAACAGTCTAATGCAAAGTTTCCTACCACATGCCTTTCTCTAGTTTGCGTTCACAAATGTGATACCGTTCACTGCGACAGTCAGCATCATGCATCAGCTTTCGATGCACTGTGTCAGATCCTTTTAAGTGGGCGCAGGACTCAATATCCCAATGAGCAGGTTCATTTTCATCCCAGAAACTGAAAAGAACACAAAACACAATGAATTCAGAAGGAGAAGTACTGATCTGGTTGGTATGTTATGCAGTATCACTTTTATTTTTTCATAACTTTAAAAACAATTACAGACAACCTAAAACACATGCTTATAATGTATGACAATGATTTCTTACTGTGGAGTTGAATGATAATTATCTCCATTAACCCAGGACCACTGTGCCGTTTTGTCCCTCTTGAGACCTATCCAGTAGTCAGGCCTCTTCTGAACAACTCTTGAAATGAACTCCTAAAATAAAGGGGCAGCAATAAACTGAAATTATATACTTGTTTAATTTCTAATTCATTTTGTATCTCTTACGCTGCATTTATTTAATCAAAAATACAGTAAAAACAGTAATATTGTGAAATATTATTACAATATATTA